TATATATATATATATAAAGGTAAAAAAAGAAAGAACTAAGAACATGTACTTCCGCCGAATATAATGGTCTAGAATCAAAGTTCAGAGTCCAAAGAAAAAAGGGTTTGTCTGGATCTTTTGGTTTACTTATATATATATATATATATATATATATATAATTTTTTATTTTTTATGGTACAAAATTTTACGATAGCTAGGAATAAGCAAAATTTATATGGCATTTTTAAAAAAGATAAAAAAGAACAAGCGGTTTCGTCCCTGGACTTATCAATTTTATTTTTCTGGGATATAAAAAATATATAAGTGTTTAAATTAAACTAATATAACGAATGGAAGGGGGAAAATGAGTTTCAAGAAAACTAGAGTCCAATAACATCCAGACCCAGTAAGCATTCGTTCTGTTTACAAAGGGAAGGCCCACGGGATCTGATATACAAGGACTCCAGAACCTTGAGGTGATATGAGGAGTGGGACCTAGATAAAATCGAAAAACGGCCCGCACTAAAATCAAACACACAATTCCTGCTATTTATTACATGCTCAGCAATAGCAGAGCCAGAAGTATTGATTAGTTGGCTTTTCCTGGCATCCGGATTCAAAATCCTAGGGGAGGGGGTAAGTGTTGTTTTATTCTCAGATCCAAACCTTGGGACGTCCTCCCTATGTAGTCGAGTTCACAACTATACTTATATTTATAAATCACTGAATTGACATGATGGAAGGGGTGGAGGACGTCCTTACGAATGGAAGAAAAAAGGACGGGTAAAAAATATTACCCGAACATTAACCCATAAATAACATATATATATATATATATATATATATATATATATGCTGTTTTAGGATATTACATCGAAAATATGACAAAATCGCTACACAATTGCAGATGTATACAACGCATCTCATCAGGCGATTGTAAATTACTAGTCATTCTAAATGCGATGTGATTTGTATTGAGCTCTCTTTTAAATTAAATGTTACGAACGCTGGAATTGTACGATATTCGTTCTCATCTTACCTACACATATATATATATATATATATGACGTGTGGATGGTCTTGCACGAAACCTTCACCACTATAATCAAATCTCATGTGCTGTTGTCGGGCTGTCGGTTTCCTAGGAATTGATCTACTTGACCCTCATACGTCGAATTCGACGGGAGAATCGAGTATATATATGAAGAAATATAGTCTTAAGATGTGCTATATTTATGGAATAAAGTGCTCAATATCAGAGATAGAGCGTGTGTAAATATAAAAGTGAACATAGAAATCAACATTTAGTGGCGACAGTCTGTTTCATGCTAGACGCAATCGACAGGCCACGTGGCCTGACGGTTGCGTCTAGCATGAAAACAGATTTCCATGTTGATTTCTATGTTCACTATATATATATATATATATATATATATATATATATATATATATATATGGCTTGACAATTGCGTCTAGCATGAAACAGACTGTCGCCTCTAAGTGTTGACTTCTATATTCACTTTTATTTATATATATATATATATATATATATATATATATATATATATATATATATGAATTTAGTGTATTGAGGCAGCAGAACATTATTCAAACATATATTGTTAAATATAACAAAAAAATGAATGTCTATTATCTTTGATCATTAGCCGTTCTAAGGTTCGTATTTTGGCTTTAATTTCGGGTGAAAATAAAGACAAAAATTGTCCAACATTTGGATATTCTTGTTATTAAGCTGTTCCTTGATCTAAGCTTTTGGCTCACATGAGCCATCTTCAGAGTGGTTATACAGACATTTAAACAAAGATATACACCGTCAAAGATGATATCCTGTTATGTTGACATAGAAGATTGCTATGCGACGATAATGGTCGCGGAATAGCAGATGCAAGTCGTAAAATAGCAGATGCAACTCGAAATAGATGGTTACGTTAGGAGGCCATTTGTGTGTATAGATGAACGATTAACCCGGGCCTTGAATAGGTTAAGATTGTAGTGATTGGGGAAATACCCTATTAAGAGTCGATTCCACAGGGCAGTGGTTCACGGAAGAAGCTGCTCGAGTGAAACTTACCTCTCACCGATGGAATGCGAAGAGAATCTGGGACGGGTGTGATTATGTACGTAGCATAGCGTGTTCTTGCCTTGAAGGTTTGACTCGAAGAGACTAGGAAATGTAGTTCGTCCGAGCACTTTCCATAGAATCAGCGGTAGAGCAGTAAGAGGTTTGCCATATCCCGCCTGTGGGAGAGAGGTTGAAGGGTGGAGAATAATTCTTCACCCACAAGGGCTCAGAGACGCTTTTGAATATCAAGGCTGGAGATTGACGTCTTGGCAGCTCTCGCCTAGATATGACAACAATGCTCTATTTTTGGCCTGATCTGGTTCTTGTAAAGGTAGATGATGGAAGGAAGGTACTTACTGGATAGGTAAAGGGAGCCGGCCATTTTATCTGCATCCTTAGCAGCGGATCGTATATACGAGTTCCACTTGAGGTCAAGTGTGATTTTGAGGCCCAGCAGTCGTTCACGGCTCGGTGCTTCCCCGAGAGGAGTCTGTACATCATGATTGGTGGCAATTCGGAGTAAGATCAACGATGATGGAACGTAATTAGCTTGGTCTTCGAGGCAATGAATGAAACCAGTCAGTTCTTAGAAGCATTAGCAATTTCATTTACAAAAATTTATTGCTGGTATTTTTTTTTTGTTGTTTTTTTACAAAAATGTTTTCCTGGTAATATTTTTTTATACGAAAATGTATTACTGATATTTTTACTATAAAAATATATTTCAACACTTTCGGAATATTTATATGCAGTTTGGAGGCTAACCATTTGCCCATAGCTGGGACCCCAACAGGTGCTACCACCTCGGGTCAGGGTGAACCTGGGAACAACATCAATTAAGACGTGGTTCCACGCTCCACAAAACCTTGCTACCGGATGTAGTTTATCGTCATACCCAGGGCGATTCTTGAGCCAGCCAATTATATACGTACACACACGTAAGCACACCTAGGAAGACACCTACGCGTTCAGGTACACATTATTTATGTATAGGTCTTTGGGTTTATCTGTTTTCCCGAACCTATATCTGTCTTTCTGTCGACTCACCTATTTTTATCCTTATCAAATCTTTTATCTCTTTCGCTGTCTGAGAAGATACGTAAATGTTTGAAATGAAAAGTACAGAAGAAATCTTAAAACGGGAGAAAAAAACAAACAAAGCAAACTGAGGAAGGAAGGAAGGAAGGAAGGAAGGAAGGAAGGAAGGAAGGAAGGAAGGAAGGAAGGAAGGAAGGTGAAGAGGAGGAAAGGGAGGGGGTGTTACACCTGGAATAAAGAATGGATGGATAAAAGGAAGGAAGGAAGGAAGGAAGGACGAATAAATGGGTGGAAAGGGGAGGTGGTGTTACACCTGGAATGAAGAAAAGAGGGATAAAAGGAAGGAAGGAAGGAAGGAAGGAAGGAAGGACAAATAAATGGGAGGAAGGGGGATATGGTTGCACCTGGAATGAAGAAAAGAGGGGGAAAAAGAAGGAAGGAAAAAGGAAGGAAGATGAAGGGGAGGAAGAGGAGGAGGTGTTACACCTGAAATAAAGAAAGAAGGGTTAAAGGAAGGAAGGAAGGAAGGAAGGAAGGAAGGAAGGAAGGAAGGAAGGAAGGAAGGACGAATAAATGGGAGGAAGGGGGAGGATATGGTTACACCTGGAATAAAGAAAAGAGGGGGAAAGGAAGGAAGGAAGGAAGGAAGGAAGGAAGGAAGGAAGGAAGGAAGGAAGGACGAATAAATGGGAGGAAGGGTGAGGATATGGTTACACCTGGAATTAAGAAAAGAGGAGGAAAAAGAAGGAAGGAAGGAAGGAAGGAAGGAAGGAAGGAAGGAAGGAAGGAAGCACGAACGAATGAATGGGAGGAAGGGAAGGAAGCGGTTGCCCCTGGAATGAAGGAAGGAAGGAAAGAAGGAAAAAAGGAAGGAAGGAAGGAAAGTGAAGGGGGGTAGGGGATGAGGTGTTACACCTGGAATAAAGAAAGGAGAGATAAAAGGAAGGAAGGAAGGAAGGAAGGAAGGAAGGAAGGAAGGAAGGAAGGAAGGAAGGAAGGAGAGATCCTGTTGGAGAAGAAAGAAGGAAAAGTTAGGGAATGGAAGAAAAGGTAAAAAAAAAATCTCAGGTGTAAGAAAAAATAACGAGATATAGTGGAGAAGAAAGAAAGAAAGAAAGAAAGAAAAAAGAAAGAAAGAAAGAAAGAAAGAGAAAAAATGTATGAGAATAAGAAAGAAAAGAAGGAAGGAAGTAAAAAAAAAGACGGAAACAAAGAAACAAAAGAAATAAAGTGAGAGAGAAAAGAAGAAAGATATAAAAACAGCGAACAAAAACGCGAGAGAAGAGAAAAGAAGGAAAGAAAGAAAAAAATGAGGAGAAGATAGAAAGTGGGTACAAAAAAATGTGAGACAAAAAAAGAAGGAAAGAAGGAAAGAAAGAGAGAAAGAAAGGAAAAGAAAGAAAGAAAAAGTAAAAAAAAGAAAGAGGAAAGTAAAAGGTGTAAAAAGAAAAAAAATTAAAATAGCGAATGAAAACGTAAAAATAAGAGAGAAAGAAAGAATGAAAGCGAACAAACAAGGAAAATAAACTCGAAAGAATGAAAGATGATGAAAGAAAGAAAAAAAAGTACGAATAAATAAATGCAAAGGAAAGAAAATAAGAAGTTTCAAATGCAGGAAGGAAGTTTAGTTATAATTTGATACAATCGGGAAAATGAATGAATAAATCGAAGAATGAAACTAACAGTGAAAGCGTTCGTCACGTGACTGATGACGTCACCAGAAGATCACGATCAGACATTTGATGCCATTAGTGTCATTTAATATGGCGGCGATTCGATTCTTTTTCCCAATCTTTTTTCTTGTTTTGTTTTTGTTTGTTTTTTAGGGAAGGGGTGCAGTTTTTTTATTTATTTATTTACATTACATTCGGACTACATTTATTGGTAGCTTTCTTGTTTCATGTGTTCTTTCTTTTCTTCTTTTACTCAATCTTTTTTCTCTTTCATTTTCTCCTTCATTCGTCTGCGTTTTTCTTTTCCTTCTAATTCTTCATCTTACGATTTTTCTTTGTAGTCCTTCATTTCCTTAGTTCTTCTTCGCCCTCTTTTGATTCCTGCTCTTTTTTGTGGAATTTCATTCAAATTTCTTTGTCACTTTCTTCTCAAACTCTTGTTCTTGCTGGTCATCTTCTTCCTTTTTCTTCTTTTCTTTCTGCTTCTTCTTCTATTGCTTTCCTCTGCTTCTTCTTTTTTTTCGATTATTTCTTCTTCTTTTTCTCTCTTCTTTTTTCTTCATTAAATTTTCCAACTTCCTCGTTTCCTCCTACGTTTCTTCTTGCATTCTTTTCTTTTTCCTTTCTGTTAACGCCCATTCCTCTCTTCCTCTTCATCATCATGACGTCTTCTTATTTCTTTCTCCTCTTCTCTTTCCATACCACCTCTTCTTCTTTTTCCTTTCTGTTAACGCCCATTCTTCTCTTCCTCTTCATCATTATCACGTCTTCCTATTCCTTTTTCCTCTGTCTCTTCTCCTCTTCTCTTTCCCTACCACCTAGTCTTCTTCTTCTTCTTCTTCTTCTTCTTCTTCTTCTCGGTTAACGCCTATTTTTCTCTTCTTCTTCATCATCATCATCATATTTTCTTATTTCTTTCTCCTCTTTATTTTCTCCTCTTTCCCTGCCACTTCTTCTTCTTCTTCTTACTATTATTATTATTATTATTATTATTAACCAACAAAATGATTGACGTAATTCTTCCAATATTTTTCAACGATTAAGAGAAAAGCGCGATTTAATAAAAGATACAGAAAAGAAAAAACAGTTTGACAATGTTAATATTTCGACAGTATATCTGTCTTCAAGTTATATTAAAAAATGTATTATTATTATTATTATTATTATTATTATCCATCGTTCTCACTTTTTATTTCGTCTTCTTGTGCATTTTTTTCGGCACAGTTCGTTTTATACTTTTTTCTTCGGCGTTTTTTCTTTCTCTTCTCGCTTATTCTTCATATTCTCCTTATTCTTGACCATCTATTATAGTTTGATCTTCCACCACTTCTTCGTCTGAACGCTTCTTCTTCTTCTTCTTCTTCTTCTTCTTCTTCTTCTTCCTCCTCCTCCTCCTCCTCCTCCTCCTCACTATTTTGGCGCCAGTTTTATTTATTCTATTCCCAAGCATTTTAATTCCCCAAAACACAACGCTTTTAATCAAAGTCTCTGTATTTGAAACCAGTTTATAGTAAATTTCATTGTTCTTTTTTTTTTTTTTTTTTTTTTTTAATACTTGATTTATTTTCATTAACCCTTCTCCGCTTATCTTAATGTCATCACGGGAAGCATGTTTCCTCTGGAAGCCCATATTCGTATTTCCTGTTTGAGATATGCTAGCCAAAACTTCCTTTAGCAAGAATCTGGGTTTTCAATATGCCGATAAAAGTCTTAGACTCCGTTTATGAGATCTCCGAACTTACTGGCTTAAATTACGAAGTAACACTTGAGCTAAAAGCTACTTTCTGAATCTAATGTGTCTTTGTAAGCTCAATGAATTGTTTTTTTAAAAAGTAAATAGAATAAATTGTTTATTTAAATTTTGGTCGGATCATGAGAAAAGCGCGTTAACGCTGTCTACCAAAATTTCGGTCAAAATCCATGATTATCGTTTATAAATTCAAGTAAGGTCAAAATTTATCTCCGGTCTTTTTGAACAGGAGTAAAGATTTATCCTTTGTTTCCTGTTTAGGATTGGGCTTCCGGTTCCTTCTAAAGTCTACTTCAACTTTATAATTCTAAAGTTACCGCCTGAACTCTGACATTTTATTTACTATTTATTTTATCTTCTCAATAGGAGGAGATAGGTTCGCCTATCACCCGGTTCACACTCCTCTCCAGTCTTTTGGACAAGAGTAGAGATTTACTCTTTGATACTTGTTTAGGATTGGGTTTCCGGTTCCTTCTAAAATATTTTCAATCTCTTTCACTCCCAGTAGGCCCTTGTATCTTAGTGAGATTATTGATTTGCTTAGGGTGAATTGATTAAAAAAAACTGTCCCCACCTTACAACGTTAAAACAAAACAACCAAGCCCGTACTATTAATATATTATTGTTCGTGAAATAAAGAGCCTAAGAGGCTATCAAGGTAGAGCGTTACCGAATGAGGTTGTTGTGATGGCGTAAAAAAATTCTGATTCTGGGCTTGATGAGGTTATGATTACAGAGATCGGGGAAGCATTCTCTCCGGCGTCAGTTCCAGAGAAGAAGCTACGGTGGAACTTCCTCCTTACTAATGAAATACGTGAGGAATGAGGATCATTTGACTCTTTGTAGCGGAATGATGACAAAAAGATTTTTTTAAATATTTTCACTCCAAGCAAGGCAATAAAGCCACTAAGATGCAAAGAGTTACTGAGTATCAGAGAATATGAGAAAAATATACCATTAAAGAGAAAGGGCGGTAATTGAGCAAGAATTAAGAAGACAGAACATAACGTTTGACATAGCATTTAAATTTTTGAAGACCAAAATTGACTGGGATACTAGAGGCCGGAAGAGAGTTCCACAATCAAGAAGTGCGATAGAAGAAACTGTTAGCATAGAACTTACGGTTATATCTAAACATTTCAACTTTAAAATGATGAAACCTATCCGCCAATCTAGTACTGCGCTTAAATTTATAAAGTCTAGATACTAACCAGGATAGTTCATCAGAATAATTACCATTTTTTGTTTACTGGTTTACGTGTATTTCTTTTCATTGTATTTGTCATAAGGATATTTTGTTTGAAGTAAAAAGCCAAAATAATTATCATTATCTATCGTCTATGGCAATAACAACTGGCCTTGTGGCTAAGACTAAAGTATAATGTCGCCTTTATCACTCTGTATTTGACTTCATTTGCTGTACAAAAAGTTTATCCTGTCATTGGAGGTGATACTGATACCTGAATTTGAATTTGTCTGAACCTCATAGTTGTGTTGTCATATCCTGCTATGGCAACAGAAAACAACCTTCAGTCAAACTAACAGGAAGAATACTGCAATTGAGAGGCCTTGAAAAAGAATGCAAAGGAAAGGGGAAGTAATATTAGTGAAGCAAAGTGCTAAAGGTTAATATTTTTGTTGTAAATTCTCAACAACATATATATAAATATATATATAAATTCATTTTCATCACATGTATAGGTTTTATTACAATTATCGCTTTTTTTAAAACAATAAACATTGCCGAGGAGTGAAGGTAGTTAAAATAATAGTGGTGTCAAGAGAAAAACCGTCTTTTTTTTGCGTGAACGAAGGTAAAAGTTTGACATTTATTGGTTAGTATAGGAATTTTTAGCCCTTCAGCATAGGCTTTGAAAAAAGTTTTGTTAATTTTTTTTTTTTTTTTTTTTTTATTTATTGAAAATTTTCAAAAGCTCACTCTGGAGACTAAACCTATCTAACTTAATTGAATTTTTTTATGTGAATTTGAAAATTCAAAGAATTTTTAGCCCTTCAGCATGGGCTTTGAAAAAAATTAATTTAATTTTAATGAGAATTTGAAAATTCAAAGAATTTTAAAATGACAAAAGAATTATTGGCTTTAATATTTTATCACCGAATACATTCTTAAAAATAATATTTGAAAGAGAATGGCGGAAACTTGATGTGATGTTACTGTCCCAAATACAGTGACAAGAATTTTGCTCCCTGTAAGAAAAAGGTAAAATATGATTTATTCTGCCTGTGCGCAACTGGGTTTTGCTAAGAGGTGTCTCATTTAACCGGGATTCACTGAATTTGGATATTTGAGTTTAAGTAATATTGTCCGAAAGTTCTCGAACTGTTCTCGCTGTGATTAATTATTTATTGTTTTGAGGATTTAGTTTTAAAAAATCGTCTTTTACACGAGTATATACAGCGCGTGGGTGAGCACCTCCAGGCGGTGTAATGGTTATCAAGCTTGACTCGCTAGAACAATTACCACTGTGTAGTGAGTTCGATCCTCACTGGGTGCCCCATACTTTCGACCTTTTGCCACATGCAAGCTACCCTTGGAAAATCGCTATACGGCGGGTGGGTTGCTCGCGCGTGGCTCTGTGTGGGCGAACATGCGGAAGAGATCGAATGTAAATTCTGTAATATAACTATATCTAAGTAAATAGATATCTTTCAAATAAACATAGGTTGACAAAGTCTCTCAGGGACAAGCTGGCTTATAGAAAAACGGATGCATTATGTGTGTCTGTATGTATGTATGTGTGGTGTGTGCCTCCGTGTGTCTGTATGTGTCTCGGTGCGTCTGTATGTGTTCCTGTGTGTGTCTTCGCGTTCAAACACTGCCGCAGACAACCTTATGCAATCGAAATATCTCAAAGTAGAAGGGATCTTCATCGGACTTTTACGTCAATATAATTGCCTATAGCACTTCGTTTATGCGACGTGTTACTTTGGGACGTGGGCGACCATGGCTCTCTGCGACTTCCTATTCTTGTTTTTCTTTCTGCCTATTGTCCATCCGAGTCCTCGTTGTACGATCCAAGCTCACAAAGAGGGTTACTTGCCGTTTCCCTCTGCTCTTGGCTTCAATATGGCTCAGATTCTAGTTGAATACTAGCAGCATGGCCCGGCGTTGCCCGTGCGTGATTCAAAAATCGTACGACTCATACAGCAATCGTTATCACTTGACTTAAAATATTTTTGCCCTTCCTTGCCTTTAAAGGAGTGCCCTTTGCTGTGCTGATGTTGCTACATGCCTCACACTGCGAATTTTTTCTAAGCTCTATACTAAACATTAAATCTGTTACGAAAAAAGAACTAAACAAAATGAACACAAAACGATCAGCTTTAAAAAAAAGGATTCGTAACTGGAAAAAAAGAATGAATGAAGAATGTTAAAAACAAATACTTTTTCACACCCAACCCAGTTCTGCCGAATCAGAATCAACGTTGAGTTTAAGCAAGCGAATGAGCCAATTGGAGTAAAGTGCCATGCAGATTTAAATTTTTCCCACTTGTGACGAATGCAGCTATCGATTTTTTTTTTTTTGCGTGCTAGCATGCTAGTTAACATTCGTGTCAGTCAGCTGTTGGCTCTCACGCTGGCCAATAGAATCTTCCTGCCTATTCGTGGCAGCCAGCTATAGGCTCTCACTCTGGCCAGTAGAAAATGGCCGCAAACTACATGAAAACTGCCGTAGAAGCATTAAAAAATCGATTATTTCCACTATCGATGGAAGTTGGGAAATGCAATGTTGGTCTTGGCCTTCCCACTAACTTGGAGCATGTGCATGTAAATTTTGGTGCCAATCCGTCGAAAATTGCGGCCGAGTATTCGTTACACACACACTAATCAAAGCCAATAAAAATAACACATAATCACGGCTTGATATTGGAATTATCGAGAGTCGAAACCCGTATGCCTAATTTAAAATAGTGTGTTCGTGATAGAAGCTTCGAATGACCGAGACAGGCGAAATTATCCGCTTGTTTTTTCTATTTACCCAAAATACACGCATTTCACATCACGTGAGCCTATTTCACATAATAAAATAATACATCTTTAGCTTTATCTATCGGCCCAGCTTTGCCAGTTAAGCAGATCTGGTTTCATGTCAAAAGAACTTTCTTTGTCTCAAGAAAAGTCCTCCATGACAATTGACAGTGTCCAAAGACTTTAGAAACAGAAAGTTCCACGCGCAACGACATTGGGTTTGAGCTGACCCAGTCAGTGAGTAAGGTCAGTTTTGTCTCCTGGCAGTTATACA